CTATGGATCCAGAAATCGAAAGTGGCCGGACATGTGGTCGCTACAGGACACCCGATAAAGTGTTTTAAATCCCAACATTTTTCCGGATATGGGAAGTCACAGCTAAGCGGAATATGAGGGAGTCGATTGAAATTAACAAAACAAACAATATCTTGAATAAGAGGAGTGAATGTAGGAAACTAAGTAAGAACTTTCTCTGGCTGTTACATAAAATGAGAGAGAGAGATAGAGAGGGAGGAGACTAGACTAAGCTGGAGCTTGTTTATGAAGCCAAAATTGTCAACCAACTCGGGGTTGTTGCATACACACACAAACACGCATCCACGAAACTGTAACAAGACTCAGGACTACTGGATCATACTCTAATTTAGTTGAATGGACAAAAGTTGTGAACACATCTGCTCCCCTGCCTGCATAACCTTGATCCACAAGCATATATCAGCCAACCAAATCATGGAATGCCTGAGTAAGATCGCAAAGTGAGGTATAAGAAGTAAATTGGATCTCAGCTGGCCACCTTTTGGGGATTTTTCGGTGAATAATGGTTTCTGGCTCTGACGATGTCCGTCACATGACGCAAGAAAGCCGTAAGACGATGAGCCGAGGTCTTCTTCGCACAATTCAACATACCAAAGTCCAAGGCAACCTTTCTACGAACCGCTTCGACCCATCTTCTAACACGAAATGAAAGGTACGCCAGTATCAATCTATTAAGTGGTTCATAAAGTAGAGGTTTGGCCGAGAGATTTACTCAGTGCACATGCGGCGCAGCAATAAGAGGATCTGCAGCGTCAAGTCAGGTTGTCATGACAATTGACAATCCAGACTTTAGGGACTTGCCCAGTGAGACTGATGAATACGTGCTGTCATAGGCTTGAGGTAGAGTGTAGAACCTTAAACTAGTAGGATTGAGTGAAATCACTGAAGGAGCCTACGGAGCAAAAGATGGACTCTGATAGGACTCTTTGCGGATTAAACAGCAACCAGCGGATCAACACTCCGGCACAGTGGGAGGGATGTGGAAACCAGCGGGTAGTGTGAATAGGTTTCAAATAGGTTCAGATAAACAAATGAGAAATCGTGATATCGAAGGGGTGGCACAAGGATACAGGACACCTGGTCAAGGGATCAACTTCACTTGCCTCTTTGACGAGTTGTTGTATGGCGCTAAGAACGGCGAGGCTCTTGGTAATGTACAAAGTCGACGGTCCGACTCTGGAAATGATCATGCCTACTGTGGACTCTTCTAGTTTTCCTGTCAATGTGGCCAAGTTGCGAAAACAAGGACAAACAGCTCCTGATGGTTTACATCTGCAAGACGAAACTCGCTACGAAAATGGATTTTATAGCT